ATGTCCCCAGGTTTGGACTTGTAGCTATGGGATTTATGCTTGCTCTACTAATTTTTAGTCTTGTTTTGGTCTGAATACTTTTTATCCTTTCTTTTGAAATGAACACGTTTACTCTATACTCTTGTATGTTTACACAATACTTGTAAGTGAAATAGATCAAAATCACATATCTACTCTATTGACTCCCTAGTGTAAGAAACTGAAAACTTCTGTTCCAAAATCTACAATAAATATTGTGTAAGGGTAAGAAATATTTCAAAGAGAAAAAGTGGCTGGAATAAAGTAAAATAGAAAAGAGAATAGAAAGGGGAAAAATCCATAAATTTGTATATGTATACACATATATGATAGATAAATTACTGTACTATTATAATTGCATTAGTTATTGGAAAAGAACAGTTAATACTCATACGTTTAGATCCATTTACATGTCTATATCTGTTAATCTAATCAGCCCTCTTGAAGGTAATAATATGCAATATTACCAACCACTGTCAAATTCCTATCATCTTGTTTTGTAAGCCTATACTATTATTATATTTGATTTCTTGGTTTTTTTTTTGTCTGTATTGGCTTTTGCTTTTCATGTCTTTTACATCTTAAGTAAAAGAAGAAAAAAATATGTAATGTTTTACAGAGACTCACAGCTGCAGAGACTCTGTGCTTTGAATCACGGTGGAGATTTTGGACTTAAACTTGGAACAATGCTAAAACTGCTAAGATTTTGATGACTTTTAAATACGCACTGAGTACATCTTACACATTAAGTTGGGCATTAGTTCTTTGGGGGCCAGGAGTGGAATGCTATGGTTTAAACCTAAAATGTCCCTAGGTGTCTCAAATATACATGGGGAAACATTTGGAAGATGACTAATTTTCACATGTGTTAAGTCATCAATAGATTATTCCATTGATGCTTTCATAGCTAAATGCCTTGAAAGTGGTCAGAGCCTGCTTAAGGAGGGAGATTACTAAGGGCATTCCCCAAAAGGGTATACTCTTCTCTCCTGGTTCCTTCCTTTTCTCTGTCTCTACTTCCAGCTCACCATGAGATGAACAGCTTTTCTTCTACCATGCTCTTCTACGATGATATTTCTGCCTTACAGACAGCCATTCATGGACTAGAAATTTTAAAACTGTTAGGCAGAATAAATATCTTTTCTTTTAGCTGCAGGTGCCAGGTGTTTCTTAAGAACAGGGAAGTGACTAATATAAGTATGCTTGTAACAGTAATTAAAATAATATTATGCAGTTCTAACCATGTTTTTTATATAACTCAAATTAGGCCAGGGATATCTGCAAGATAAAAATCCTATTAGAGAATTTTTCATAACTTCTCATGATTTCTCTTTTTGGCACATATATAATTTTACTAAGTTAACATTTCATGAAGAAAAATATCAACATTATGTGAAACACTCATGATATATGTTCTTTTACAGAGAAAATTTTTAAAAAATATAAAAAGTGAGATTTGTTATCTCAAAATACAAGCTGTCTATAACTTGAAATATTTTGACTTTAAAATGACGTGAAGGTGATATATATTTAGTAGAAACCATATATGGGATTTTAAATTTTAATATTTTCCTGGGCTAGCAATATTTGGTAAGACAGTCTAGTGGTACTGGATAGCACCTGAGAACAGCAGTTCCCTCCTAGTCAAGCATGTGACCTTATGTTCACGAAGTAACATTCTACAATGTACTGCATTACTAATCTCATGTTATATAGTTCAATGTAGCTTGGTCTTTAGGTATTTTCCACTGATTATGAGTGGATGTAACTTCATTTTAAACACAGTAGAATGTTTACATGTTCATGGAAGCTAAAGTTTCGGAAACATGCTTAAAGTATTTGTAACTAATGAGTTTTATATATTATTTGTAACTATGCTTCTATCTACAAATATTTTGCCTTATCAGTACCAATTATAGTGAAATTTACTGAAAGTTCATGACAGAATGAATAACTCAAGTACAGAAAATAGTCATGCAATTGTCAAAATAACTTTACAACTGATTTACAGTAAGGCAGATGAGGCTTGGTTCATACTTTTAAGTTTAATTTTCGGAATATATTTACTGGAGTTATTCAATGTCAGAGGAAAGATAGTGGATTATCCCCATCCTCTAACTGCTAAAATATATGGCATGCATGACATTCTTACAGTTAAGTAAAAGCAAACAGATATTTCATGTTAAAATTTCCAAAATAAATTCTAAATAATTTACACCAACACATACTAGAGTTCTGTGTTAGTCAGCTTTTTATCACTGTGACCAGACACCTGAGAAAAACAACTCAGGAGAGGAAATAATTACTTTGCTTCATTATTAGACATTTTAGACCATAGTCAGCTGGGTCCACTGCTGTGAATCTGTGGCAAGAAAAAGGCATCACAGCAGAGGGATTTGGCACAGGAAATCTGTTCACCTCATGGAGGTCAAGAATCAGAGAGGGAAAAAGCCCAAGAGGAAGAGGTTGAGAAGCAAATACAGATCAAAGATCAAACCCCTGACATAGTCTTCACCCTAGGTCCAATCACCTGTTTCCATCACCTACCAAAGATGCCGTCAAATTAAATTAGCAGTCCAAAGCTCTTTATCTAATTGTGTCCTAATACCCTATCAGCAGCCAAGACTTCAACACAGTGGACATTTCTGGGGGAATTATTATATCAAAATATAAAAACTACTAACAACAAATATTTTTTTCTGAGAATATAATCTGGTTTCCGGAAGCTGCTAAAAGAAAAAATACTAAACTGAGTGCCTTGTGAATGTAATTATTTATGATGTGAACTTCATTTTATATTCTGATAATTTCTTTTTATTTGAAGAAATTATGGAAATTGTATTGAATGTAATAAGAGCTGAGATGCTCTGAGATGCAAATGGAAATCAGAAGTAGGATATTATGCTTAATGTTCCATTGTCATATCTAGAGATCTAAAGTTTTAGTAAATTGTTTCTCAAAAGATTTGGCAAAATAACAAAAGTAATTGAAAATATAATAATATGTAGATGAAGACCAAAAAATTAGTATATTTCCAAAAGTACAAAGCAAACATCTTTTTCAAGAAATACCCAAAGGTTTCATTTGATGAGATTATGTGAAAAAGTCATATCATCTCTATCAAACAAATCTTTGTGTCAGAAATTTAAAGAGGGAATGAGTATTCACCAAGGTGGAGAGAGTTAATGAATGGAGAGTAACAACCCTGTCACTGGTGTCCTTCATGGCAGAATTAGTTGGAAAAGATTTCCTTATCCATCGAACTCAGTTGGATATGAACATTTAATTAAATTAGGAAACCTACCTATAGTCACAAAGGGAGCAGCCTAGCAGCTACATTATTTATGAAAACATTATATTTGTGAAAGGGTAACATAAGTTTTAATTTCAAAAATGAAAACATATTGGAAATTGTCATTAAAAGAGATAGGTGGTTGACTCTTTTCACTTTTTTGTTCAATCTTTTTACATAGCCCCACAAAGTATCCTGATGTGTTTCTTAACTCGCATAAAGATCTTCACCATTCATCACTGACAATTATAAAAGTATCAAAGTATATTAGCATTTTCTCAAAAGAGTAACAACTGTTGCAGGAAAAAAGACGTTTTATGCACTATTTAAAAAGAAGATCCATAAACTGGTTGTGGTGGCTCATGCCTATAATCCCAACACACCTGACACTGAGGTAGGAGGATCCTTGGGAGTTTGAGGCCAGGCTGGGCAATACAGTGAGCTTAAGGTTGACCCGAACCGCATAGTGGGACCTTATCTCAAATAAAAAAATTCCAGCAAATGTTTGAAAGTCTTAGAACTGTACTTGTGTTTGCAATTTTATGTTCCAAATTTCAATTTATCACTATTACCATTTTAAACAAGGAGAAATCCAGTGTTCTTTCTTCTGAGGTAGTATCTCACATTCCCAATTTCTTTAGGACCCCTTATAAAAAATGCATTCTCCTGTTTCCTTATAAACAGATTGCTCTTTAATTCAGTAATAACTTTCTATTGCAATGTATTGTATCATTAAAGCTCTGTCATTTTAAAATAACTTTCAAGAATGATTTTATGCTGTAACAATATCCATGTCACAACATACTACTTTTATTGAGAGAAATGATCCAACATCATATTAAATAAAATTCCACTTAAAAGTTGAAGTTTTCGCAAATTATAGTTGAGTGCATTTTAATATTTTAGCTATCCATTTCCTATGTCTCATTGCAGATTTATCAGCAGCCACATAACCAAATAATTTGTCAAAGTAACATATATTAAATATTTTCTTACATTATGGTTATTGGAGTCAAAGTTCGAAATTTTAAATAATGAACTATATGACAAAATATATGTACATTTAAATTACAATATATATTTAATTATGATCAATTTAAATATCTACGTTCCAGCATTAAGGTAATTAAATCTAATAAAAATAGTAGTAAAATAATTTGTTTTATATGTCATTTAAAACAAGAGTCCTATTATTTGAATTTATGAGATAATTTTGGACACAAATTTAGTAATTCTTCAATAATTCATATAAGAAAATTCCATTCTTAGTCATCACTTAAAATCCCAAATATATGAAGGTTTCTTCAAATAAGTTTCAAAGTGAAAGCCTTGCTATAAAAAACGGGAATAATTTTTACTGGAGAATTCTAAAGAGTACAGTCTTGCTTTTACTATATAGTATGTAAGAACAAGCATCTAGACCAAAGTCCGCAATAATCTAATAACTCTTTAAAACACATAGATACAATGTTAGCCACTATAAAAATGCCATATAACTAAAAGTTTTTTACCAAAGCATTTAGATTCATAGTACTCAATTTAAAAACAAAATTGCTAAGATTGATTTATCTCAATATACTTATTTAATACATGGATTTTTATGGATGGTTTTCATGGATAGAAATTTAATGCACCACAAAAGTTCTGTTTGCCAAATGACAGAATCTATGGACATTTCATGTGCTATTACCAGAGAAATACACTCCACTTCAATAATATTTTGGGGTGGTCCAGGAGAGGTGTGGATCTCAAGATAATACCAGATCCTTAAATTTCTAAGTTCTTCATCTGAAATACAAAACAAAACAAAGCCTAAGGAAACAACAACAAAAACAATACTTAATATAAGCTTCAGAATCCCATATTTAACGTACACATTGAAGGGCAGACTGAAGAGCAGATTTTTTAAAACGCACTGATTTGTTTAGAGAGCTGAGGGGACTTCTGGGTATGAGGGTGGTGCATGCCTGTAATACGAAGAACTCAGGAAACTGAGGCAAGAGGACTCCTATGTGGTCAGGGCCAGCCGTGGATGCATAGTAACTTCAAGATCAAACTGATCTACATGGCCAGACCCTGTCTCTGAAAGTGAGAGAGAGGGGGGGGGGGAGAGAGAGAGAGAGAGAGAGAGAGAGAGAGAGAGAGAGAGAGAGAATATAGTTTCATTATAGTTTGTGGACAGTAGGAGAAGCCGTTCTGCATGCCATAAGACTACCCTGTCCAAACTCTTGGTTTTATGTGTTAAAGGGATTCATCCTTATTCTTCACAAAAAAATATAAGATGTTTAACTTCTAAGTGACAAGGTAATATTATAAAGAAATATTCAATTTTTCTCTAATTGCCCAAGGATTTACATACTTGTATATAAATTGTCAAAATAACACATTACAAATTTATAAAGGTGCACCCCAGCATTATAAAAATTTAGAAGAATGAGAAAGGCATTAATATGACATTTCAGGTTTCTTGAGAATATAAAAAAGAACCCCACTAACTTAATTTGAAAAAAGCCAGAAAGAAGCTTGGACTGGATCTTAAGAAAATGAAGTTTTCACCTGGATTCTTCAATTTACTAAAGCAGAGAGTTTTGTTATTGATGATGTCTCTGGCCCTGAAGGTTGAACCACGCTGCTTGCATCAAATTCAAGTTCTTTCTCTCTATTTTCACATCTTTTCAGATTCTAGATTTGTTATTCTTTGTATTACAGCATTGAATCAGCTCATGGTTAAGATGTTCTTGGATCAATATGTCGTATGCATATTTACATTAGCATTATTTAGAAGATTTCAGAAATTCTTATGCTACAATAATTTACTTACGTGGGCGGGCTGGACTAGTGGTATTCTCAGTGTCTCTCCTAAAAGTCTTCTCTATGTGTGTATTGGTTTGCATTGCACTACATTGTTCTGTACTATATTATATGGCATTTTGTGACATAACATGGCACTGAAGGCCACACTGTGTTATACTGAATAGCACTCTCTCAATGGACTGCTTCTGAACCATCTTGTAATATAATATCTATATGCTATCCTAGTATAATATTTTAACTACCAAAATACTTAAAAAGTTGGCGAATCTGAGAGACATTCAAAGCAGTCAGTTTGAAAAGGAGAAATAGAAGCACTCGTGTTGAATTCTTACTCTAAATGCCTTAGAAGAGTTCTTTATGACAAATTTACTTCCTCAGTTTGAATTGTCTCCTGTACTTATTTATTTTTCAGGTAACAGTTCATTGTCATGAAATCATCAATGTGTAAATAAGTTTACCAAATATACAATGGGATAGGGAATTATTGAAGAAATCTCTTCTCAATTTATATGGGCTGCTCCTTCGATTTTTTGAAAATACTTTAAAGGATTTCATAGCATTTAAATGTGACTTCTGAAAAATAATCCCAAATATTTAAAATGTAGTTCCCTTCTAGTTATCTCAAAGCTGCTTTACATGAATCTTTACATTGCTTTAACCCACAGTGACTGCACAGAGAACAGATTGTGGAAACAAGAGGTATATAGAACCAGAGATTCATTTTTGTTGCTATGAATATAAAATATAGTAGAATTACTTTAGAACAGATCAGAAGAAAAATGTTCACATTATCATCCCTACATGAAATCCATCACATATGTTCTTTGGTAAAGTAACTAAACAGTCTTCTTATCTGACTATAGTAGTCACGGTTACCTAGAGTGATAGAATCAAAATGGGTACTGTGTTACTCAAGGTCATCCAGAGGAGTGGAAGCAAAGCTGTGTGTATGTGCACGAGTGTGTGACTGTGGGTATCTGTGTCCCACCACTGATTCTATTTCTCTGAAGAATCTTGACTAATACAAATTCATTCAGTAAAACTTTTCTTTTTTGGTGTACCTATGTCTCTTCAAATTTCTGCTAATGAAATCTATTATAATAAACACTATTTTCCTTGCTACTGAGGCATAAAAGAACAACTATTCCAGGCAACTGTTTCTATTCCAATTTTTTATCATCACATTTTCCTTTATATTTATATCAAAAATATGATATTTAACAACATCCAAAGAAGGATTTAAAGTATAGGAAGTGGAAGCAATAGCACCAGGCTTCTTTGACATATAAAAAGATTTCTAACATCTTCTAAACTGAAATAAGTAAAGTATACTACATGTTTAAAATAATACACTCAGTATTATATCAGAAATTCTGTATTTTTTAATGATAGAAGAATTAGTAAAATTTTTACTTACATAATGGTATGAAACATTCAATTTTAAGTTTTATAATCCATTCATATTAATAGCAATAGAAATCCAGAAATAAACTACATAAAATTAATTTTGAAATAATGCAATAAAATGCTTACAGATATATGCATTACAAATTTACAGATGTATTACACAAGTATATTATTACTTTAAATTAGTGATGATGTAGGTTCATGTATGCTAATCATGAAAATGTATAATGTATTTACCTGGGACTTCCTTAAAAATGGGAGAAGTTTCTGATACAACTAATGGATTATGAAATAATTCTTGGTCTTGATATATCTCTTCCTGAGAAACATCATCATTTTTGTTTTTAATGGAAAATGAAATTGTACCTACAACACACGAAAATAGAATGTCTATTAACCAAGGAGTAGTTTTGAAAATGAAAGCTTTAAAGTTACTTTGGCTTGAAAGTTAAGAAATATAAACTCAAAAAACCTGACAGAGGTGTAGAAAAATTTAACTAAAAATTCAAGAAAATATTTTCAAAATCTTCATTGAAATTATGATTTTCAATAGATTTCCTTGCAGCAATTAAGAATAATTGGCACAAAAGAAAGAACTACTTCAAATTTCAGAAAATGTAATCACCCTGAATGATTGTTCCTAAGTCTTAATAATCTTTTTCTCCATTGCTGCCTTCAAAGTGTTTTGCACATTGCTCTCCTCAAAATTAATGGCTGCTTTGAAGTGTAAGACATTAAACTATACTACCTGCTATCATTCTCAAGGTACTATAGACATCTACTTGACACAAGATGACCACACTTCATTTAATTTCAGAATTGTGCAGCTGTGCTATTAATGATTTCTTCTCAATTACTTCAAATATTAGTTTAGATGTTTAACTTTTGCATAAATTCTCCAAAACCCTATTCCATCTAATGGCTGAATATATATGTATTTGAAAGTTTTGTATATTTACATACACGCATTCATCTACATGTACTTACACTAATCTAGGCTCCACAATCTGGGTAAAGTGAATAACATAAATTATCAAAAGTAACTAAAGGGATGTCAGTCACTGACCCACACAAATCTGTGAAGAGTAGAAAACTGTCATATCGTTTAAAATTTTTAAACCAGGAGTTGCTTTTCATGCTTGGAATCCCATCACCTGGGAGTCTACCCATCTGGACTACATTCTGTATTGCTACAGATATATATCATGTTTTTAGCATTACGGAAACACTGTCTCCTTTTCTTCCCCACCACTTAAACATATTAGTATTGAAAAACTATTATTGTATTTATTCCCATTTAAAGAAGTGAGATGTACCAACACTATACAGATAAGCTGTGAAAAGGCATTTTTCCAAAATTAAAAATCAAATCTTGATTTCCTTAGGAAATATATACAGATATATTTTTATTACATAAAATTCAAGTAATGTCAGTATAAGAAATCTTTTATTACTTTTAAATTTGTTGATTCTTTATCATGATTTTAACATATATTTTTTCATTTAATTTCAATTGTGTTACTTCTTTCTGTATCCACTTTTATGTTGGTATCTTTAAAATAATCGCCGCTTAAATGTTTTATATTTAATCCCATAACCATTAATATATATTGTCATTACATGAGATGACTACTGAACATTTAAATGTTTTAAAATCAGTGTAATGAGTAATTTACATGTTATGAATGTTTACATCCACATATTACTCATTTGATAAGCCACTATATATTTTCTGCATCTCTCTCATTTCCTTTCTTTCTTTTATAGAATTGGACAATTTTTATCATTTTCATCTGCCTTACTTTGAAATATCAAAACCACTTAAGATTTAGGTTGACAGAATTTTTTTTTACACAGCTTATTTTTTAGGTAAGTCTTATTGTACTTTGCTCAAGGTTGATCAGCCAGCAATAATGTACCTGGAATTTGAAAATGAAGAATCTGGTTCCAAAATTCATCCCATTATTGTACAAGGGAGGAAATTATAAATACAAGAGCATAAATTAGTGCAACTGAGACTAAGAAAAGAACACAAAGATCAATGAATCAAAGAGTAGGTTATTTAAAAGATTAAGTAAAACTGATAAACCCTTAGCCAACCTTATCAAAAAGAGGAATCAAAAGACTCAAATTCATGAAATTAAGAAAGAAAAGAGTGAAATCACAATAAATCCTGTGGAAATACAGATCATAAGTACATATAATGAGAACCTGTACTCTAATACAATGGAAAACACAGAAGAAATGTAAAAATTATTAGACACATATGAATTTCCAAAAAGAATAAAAAAGATATAAAAACTCTAAATAACCCACTATTAGCCAATCAAATGGAAAATATCATTAAACTCTTACCAACAAAAATATTCCAAGTCTTGAATGAGTTTCTGTTGAATTCCACGAAAATCCTACAGAAGATATAATGACACCATTCTTCAAAATATTTAATGAAATTGAAAGGGAAACAATGCTCTCAAAGCCATTCCTGGAAGCAAGTATTGCCCTAATACCAAAACCAGAAAAAGACTCAACCAAAAATAAAGACTAAACGTCAATCTCCCTAATGGATATATACATAAAACTCCTCAGTAAGGTACTGACAAACAGAATGCAGCAAAGTATCAAGAGTATTCACCATGACCTAAGATTCCCAGGGATGCAAGAATGGATCAACATGTAGAAATGAATAAATGTAATACACGATGGCATCAAAAGCAAAGGCCAAAATCTCATGATCATTTCAGTATATGCAGAAAAAGCATTGCATAAAGCACAATACTCACTTATAAAACATTACAGAAAATTGGAAAACATGATCTTTCTCTCACTTTGATAAAAATCATCTATGACAAACCAAGAGCCACTATCATACTAAAAGGTCAAAAACTGTAAGCTTTCACTCTAAAATTAGCACCAAAATAAGATTGTCCACTATCATTACTCCTATTTAAAATAGTTCTGAAAACATTAGCCAGAAAAAATTAGACAACAAGAAGAAATAAAGAAAGGGAGGAAGTCAAACTATCATTATTTGCCTATGACATTATATACTACAGAGGGGCCACAAAACTCCACCAAAATACTTGAATATTTAATTCAAATTTAGTAGTGTAGCTGCATACAAACTAGACAGTCAAAAAGCTACAGGATTCCTGGACAGAAATAACAAATGAAGAGAGAGAAAGAGAGAGATTAGGGAAAAACACCCTTCAAAATAACATAAAAAGTTTTAAGAAAAACATTTAGAATTCAATATAACAAAGGAAGTAAAAGATATTTACATTGAAACCTATAGTACTCTGCAAAAGGAGAGCAAAGAGGGCATCAGACAATAAGTTAATACCTCTTGGGCACATGTAGAAAGAATCAGCATAGTAAAAATGGGCACACTCCCAAATTTGACATTCATATTTAATGAAATCTCAATCAAAATACCCTTAATAGATGTTGCAGTAGTAGAAAAAACATTTCTAAAATTAATTTGTAACTAGAATAGCAAAAACAATCCTAGGTAACAAAGGCAAAGCAGAGAACATCATAATCCATGATTTGAAATTATAATAAAGCCACTGTGAAAAAAACAGCATGGTACTGACAACAGAAAGAAACAAAACAAAACAAACAAACAAACAAACATAGACCTGAGTATTATAAAATGCAAGAAGAACTCTAAACACACAAATCACTTTATCTTTTACAGTGGGTCCAAGCACGTTTAACGGAAAAAAAAATAGCCACTTTAATAAATGGTGCTAGAAAAACTCAATTTTCACATGCCCAAGACTCACTTTCTTAGTTCATAAACATACCAAAGACTAAAACTAGGTCCATGTCTCTTATCAACTAAACTAAAATCAAAATTGATCAAAGATCCAAATATTAAAATAGAAACACTAATATGCTAAAGAAAATAGATAGAACACTTAAAGACATAGGTGTAGGCAAAGATTGCAAAGTCCTAATCTTACACAAAATATTACAAAGAATCAATAAATGAGATCTTATTCAAATAAAAAGCTTTTCACGGCAAAATAAATTTCCAATAGTGAAAAGACAACCCACAGAGTGGGAAATAACTTTAACTAGTTCTCTAGAACATATAAAGAACTGAAAAACATTTAAACCATCCCAAATTTAAGGATCCAATCAAAAGTCGGCATCTGAGATGCCTATATACTTCTCAGAGGAAGAAATACAAACAACAAGTAAATATATGAAAAAATATTCAACATCGCTGGTCATTCGAAAGACACAAATTAAACCAATTCTGAGATTTCATCACACCCCAGAAAGAATGACTATTATCAAGAAATCAACCAATAACAAACATTGGTGGAGCTATGAGAAGAAAGTAACCCTTCTCCACTTTTAGTGGGAGTGCATACTGGTGCAACTACTGTGGAAATCAGTGTGATATTCCTCCAATAACTAGGATTAGAGGCTCCATTTGACCCAGCAATCCCTTTTCTGGATATCTTCCCAGAAAAAAAAAAAAACAAAAAACAAACAAACAAACAAAAAAACACATCGTACCACAGTGATCTATGTGCACCCATGTTTATAGCAGCACAGTTTATAATAGATAAATCTTATAAACAACCTAGATACCCATCAACCAAGAGGGGGATAACAAGATGCATTTTTTAAAATACATACAATGAAGCACTACTCAGTGTTAAAGAAGGACAAACGAGACATTCATAAGTAAGTGGATGCACCTTGAAACCATATACATAAGTGAAATAAATTGGACACACACGTATAAATATTGCATTGTTCATTGGTGTGAGAAACCAAAAGGTTAAATAATAAGTATATAATAAAGTATATAATAGGTATGGGAAATATGAAGAGACTTTTTAAAACAAATTGGAATTAGGGAGAAGGAAAGGGATGAAGCAAAATGGAACAAAATGATGAAAGAAGCATAATTTGGAAACAAAGCTTTGTAAATAAGGATGGGAAGAGGGGTTGAAGGGAAAAATGGAGATTGAAAAAAAAAGAGGAACCAGGATAGATCATCGATCCTCAGCGTTTTCCCCCATGGAAAATAAATATACAGTGGGGTATTATAAACAAATTTGTGCCAAAAAATGAATAATTTAGACAAAAAGACAGTTTCCTAGAAACACATGATTAAAATTGACATAAAAAACAGAATTCAAATAGTATTCAAAAACTCACTAAAAGTGAAAAGCTCAGAACTAAATGTCTCCACTATGGAATTTTACTAAACATTTAAAGAATGAATGCCAATATTTCTCAGAAAACTGAGATAGAAGCAATACTTACTGTGTCATTCTAAGAGACCAGCATTGCCCTGACATTAAACCTATATAGAGACTCTGCTAATAAAGAAAACTAAA